AGTCAAAAATCATTGCATTTCACATTTAGTTGTTATCTGTAGTCATCTATTCTATGAGAATAACGAAAAGTCTTGGTCTAACTATTCTCAGATCTTCATTACACTATTATTGCGTTGGTGGCACAACGGTTAGGACGCTCGCCCACCATGTTCATCGTCCGGGGTTCAATCCCCAGCCGAAAAACACCTGAAATCAATGGTTGACCTGCTAAATTTGGGCTACCGATATCACATGCTGAAAATTCCGTAGGTGCACCAAAATACTGTGTGGAATTAAGCTATAATTAAAAAAGATTCATTAAACAGAATATAACAGTTCCGTCTCCGCCAGCCACTCACGTGGTTTAGGGTTCGAGCCCAGGCTGGCAGTAATCCTGGTAAAAACAGAAGGTTGAGTATGTGAGGCAAGCAATCTCACCTCGTAAACTGTAAACACTACTGTTACTCTATCTTCAAAGCTCAAAGCTTGAAGCTTAGTATTCTATTGGGAATGTAAATGATTGAAATAAAAAAAATATAAGCTTATATATATTCTATAGTTGGTTTTTAAGGATTAGTTTTGTTTTAACGAGTTGATCACGGATTGATATCAGTTAGAGAACCATTGAAAACCACCAAGGAGTACTGAACAGCCAGCTGTTTCGTCAGCCTAGTTTGGGAATCATCGCCAGTACGCACCCACCGACACTGTTCGAACTCGTGACCTTCGGATTACAAGGCAAACAAGTGTACCATTCAGCCACTGGGACCCGATTCAATAACCAATCCATTAATTCTAACTTCTACCAATTCGTGATGCATTTAGCGTAACCACCAACCAATGTCATCGGTAGGACATCCATCCTCACACTTAACTGAATAGACCTCACTGGTCACGAAACACCTGTCTAGTACTGTCTGGTTTTCAATGGTTCTCTAACTGATATCAATCCGTAATCAACTCATAAAAACAAAACTAACCCTTACAAAGCAACTATAGAAAATTATTCTGATGCTCGCTAGTGACTTGCTACAGGGCACAGTTTCTTGCAGTTCTAGTGAGAAGTCCTGTCCAGTGAAGTCCATCCAGTCAAGTGTGAGGATGGATGTCCCACCGACAACATTGGTTGGTGGTCACGCTAAATCACAAATTGGTAGGAGCTGGAATTCATGGACTGGCTGAATGGTCTACTAGCTAGCTTGCCTTGTGATCCGAAGGTCACGGGTTTGGACCGCGTTGGTAAGTGCGTACTGCTGATGATTCTCAAACCAGGCTGACGAAATAGCTGGTTGTCCAGTAATTCTTGCTAGTTTTCAATGGTTTTCTAACTGATATCAATCCGTGATCAACTCGTATATGCATATATATATTTTACTTATCCAGCTTTTTGTTCATTTCACAAATTTATCACTTACACACAGTATATTGGCTTGTTATCAAATAATTTAGTTTTTCATAATACCTGATAGCCACCATATATATAGTCTTGATCACATCATCCTGTTGATAATAGATAATAGTGAGTGAATCATTGCACATTCAGTTGAACGGTGAATTGATTGACTGACGCACAGAGAAAGAAAGAGCGAAAAACGGAGAGACTCACTGTGCAAAGCAGACACAAAACAAAGCAGCATGCTTAAGCAACTGATATGTATATACAAATAAACACACATCAGCATAGAATAATTGCGTCCAAAAATTACTACACACTCATCTGTCCAAAAGTAGAGACAAATTCCTCCTCATACACTGATGCATATGCACACACATACCTCTACATTAATAATGATAATAGTGATGAGTGCTAGAGAGATAGAGGCAGTTTTGAAATAAATCACACCAGAAAGAATTTTAAGTAGAAGGCAAAAATAATATTTCTTTAAAAAAAAAGTTTCTTTTTCGACGCATTTGTTTTTCTCTTCTTTTTAACTAGCTTTTTTATTTTTTCTAAAGTTTTTGGCATAAAACTTGCAAATACAAAAGGAGAAACAATGACAAGAAATATAATCTGTGTGCGTTTAATCTTCTTTCTCTCGAATTCAATCGTTTTGAAGAAACCTAATTTATTTCTCTCCATTGTAGTGAAGTGATAAATAGAGTGTAGACGAAGCTTAAGACTGTAGGCTTTGTCTGTGAGTATGTGTGGTAGGGGGTATGTAAAATGATTTATGCTGTGATAGCATAATTGTGTCTTTCAACTATGGGATTTCTACTACTACCATGTAATTAAGTATTCAAAGATTAGAGAAAGAATCTCTGCTGATTTTGCTTCTTTTTTTTAAAGTTAGTGTTCTTTGTAAAACAAGTGTCAAAAATTTATTGTACTCATTTCTTTTATTGTTAAGTTTTAACTTTGTTTAGAATGGTGATCACTTTTCTTGTAGTAATAATGTATTGGGTAATAAATAATCTTTTCTTTTCTTTTTTCTACGCCAGATTATGAGAAAACCAGGCGTGATTTTCTTGTTAATAATGTACAAACTATCTGTTGAAATTTTCAAGTATTGCTTTTTGTAGGGATTTTGTTTAATTGGTTGGAGGATTTCATCATGAGCGGACATCACTCTATGTCATGAATTAGCAGGAGTTAAAATCCACAGTTCCCAGTGGCTTAGTGGTCTACGAACTCGCTAGCCTTGTAACTAGAAGGTTCTGGGTTCGAACCCTTGCGATAGGTGAGCACTGGTGAAGAGTCTCAGACTAGGACGAAGTAGCTGTGCAGTACGCCATGGAGGTTTTCGAATGGTTCTCTATCTTATTATTATAATTATATCCTTTAATTCCTAGAGGAACATAGGCCCTCAGCCGCCCGTCTCCATTGCGTTCGGTTCTCTGCCAGAGTCTTCTTCTGGCTCCAAGTCTGCCCATACGCTTTCATCTCTTCTTCGCATGACCTCCACCAAGTCACCCTTGGACGACTAACTCGCCGCTTCCCTTTCGGGTTCCACACGAGCGATGGCCTGACGTGTGATGTCACTTGATGGCTTCCTTCGAGTATGGCCAATCCATCTCCATTTCTTCCTGCCTATTTGTTGCACAATCGGTTCCTGGTTGGTTCGCTCATTGCCAGAGATCCCTCCCTGTTGCTGATCTTTTCTGGCCAGCTGATCTTGAGTATTGAGCGAAGACAACTAGCTGTTGATGAAGGTCTATAGTTTGTTTGAGATGCTTTTTATGACGCGCCAAGTCTCTGATCCGGTTCTCTATCTGTTGACAATTTATATCTGATACTAGTTAGTGATTATTGATCTTATCAGTTTGTTATTGTTGTTATCTGAGAATTTTTAAAAACCTGGAGTCCAGTTTGATGCAGACATGAAAGATGACGATGAGCTGAAAACCGAAAAAACCAACAACAACAACAACTGCGAAACTGTTTCTAGTGTATATTTCATTGAATAATCCAATGAAAAAGTGAATTAAATAGAAACACAAACAGAACTTCTAATTTGTGGCGTCTAAGAGCTCATAAATTTATATTTTGAATGTATATATACATAAAATTTGTTTGTCTGAAAACGAAGCTTCCTTTTTACTTTATTGTTAAGTTTTCTTGAGATAGACAGCCCTGACTAAGCAAAAATGTTAATAAATTTCAGGTAAAATACAAATACGTATAGTGGTAGAGTTGGAGTCATCATCCTCTTGATGTGTTCCACCAGGCAGTGTTCTACCTGCCTAATGAGTTTCGTAGTGAAAGGTGGAAATTCAGAGTCAGGCGATTTAGTTGCATATTTATTTGGTCATCATTTTCACACCAATCACTATTGTTTATGCCCAGTTATTATGCAAATGGTTTAACTGAAATTCTCTGCTAAACCTTATCACACAGCTGAATAAAGACGTCAGTGGTCCAATGATAGCATGTGCGTCGGTGGTACAGTGATTAGGACGCTCTTCGACCATATACATGGTCTAGGGTTCGATCCTCTGCCGACGCACATCTGATATCAATGGTCAGCCTGCAGAATTTGGGCTACCGATATCACATGCTGAGAATTCCATACTTGTACCGGAAATACGGTGTCGTTTCTAGCTATAATCAAAATTTTAAAAAATAATAAAATAAATATGGTCTGGGTTCGATTCCCGTCCAGCATATTGTTGATCTTACTTAGTTACTTACTAGCCAATAGTAACTTTGGAGAAGAGGGAAAGTTGAACGTGAGGCTAGTAATCTCGCCCTGTAATCAAACAACAACACTGCTACTCAAAGTTCTTCCACTCCTGATGCCCGGCAGTCGATTTTGAAGGTGAACAACGAAAAAATAGACTATAAAATATGACTTAAAAATAATATTTTGGAGGACTCTTATCATGTAATAAAAATTAGCTTCTGAAAAATAATTAACATTTCACCTCCAGACAAAAGTTGCCCTATCATGTTCAGGTAGTTGCAAGGTACTTAAAGTTAGTCAAATTGAAAATAAAATAGAAATTTCTAATTACAGGAAATTGCTAACCGATTTCTTAATCTTCAAGTGTCAATTAGTAGGAACGTGATGGATTTTCAAGTTTGATAACGGATTGATATTAGTTAGAGAAGCACTGGAAATCAGGAAGTACTGGGTAGCTATTTCTTCCGCGTGCCTCCTGTCTGGGACCCCTCAACAGTACGCACCTTTCACTCCACCAGGAATCGAACTCAGGACTTCCAGAATACGAGGTGACCTCATTGACTATTGGGCCACTTTGAAAGAATTCACTAACTTACAAATTATAACTTAAATCCTAACCATTATAAAAGAATAAGATAACATACTGATGAAACCAAACACTTTACGAAATATTCAGAAAGTCAGCTAATCAGACACTTGCGAAGTCATTGAAAATTCCTGAGTAATCAAATTATGATGAGCTTTAATCAAATGTGCTAACTTATTATGTGACTGGAATTCTCCTAAACAGAAGAGTGACATATTTAGTATCCCAGTGTGAGTCATCGAAATGAAGAGTTTCTTTCCAATGAAAAACTTAATTTCTTTTATTATTTTCCCGAATTCATTTTCTTTTCCAGACGACGTATGTCTGCAAGAGAATGCCTCAATCATCCTTGGCTTCAATCAATTCAAACCAACGCGAATGTGAAAGACATTCAATCAAATGAATTATTACAAAGTGGCAATTTCTCAGAGCTGTCATCTAGTGACAAATGTAACCTAAATCATCCATTGGAATTATGCTATGCAGAACCAATATTTGAACTAAGCGATGAATTGCTTTCTGCATTCTCTCTATCCTTCTTTACCCTAGAAACCCCTGTACATATTACCCCACGTGTAAATCCAATTGCTCAAAATATTATTATCAATTCATTGTCTGAAGTATATGCTAATCATCCCGAAGATATGAAGATGTACAGTTCAATGATTGTAGGATTAACAAATTTAATGTCTAATATTCATGCAAACAGATTATCTTCGCTAGACATTGAACCAGTCGTCAATCAGTATAGTTTAAATTTATCTAAAAATTTAATTAATGGACATTTTAATCTATTGAAGGTGTTATCGACAACAACAACAACAACAAGACCAACGACTGAGAAATCTTGTCCAGTTAACCGTGTTCATTATTATTATAATTACTGTAATTATAACTTGGCTATTAATACTAATGATAAGAATGATGATGATGATGGTGATAGTGATTCATCGACTGAAATGCTACCATTGATGCCCTTATCATCGACAATTATACCACCAACTGTTCAACTGCCAATTAAATATTTATCTAATTCTTTTACCAACTGTGATGCTGACAATTTATATGATGATGACATTTACGCCTCATCGAGTCTATTTGTCTTAAGGCTGATACAAGCCTATTCAATGTTATCTACAATATATGATTTAAATTATAATAACTTGCTTAGCTATGATTGTGATACATCTAACTATACTACTGACACTATTACTAGTAGTAGCAGTAATATAACCAATAATATTACATATAGTTTTAATAGTAATAATAACAATAATCGAGTCGGGAATAGTCATCCAATGTCAAACATTGATCCACTGCTGGCTGATTCTTTTCACTCATCATCAAATAAAATGACACAAACCAACAGAGAGGTCTCCGATGAAGACCTATTGTATGCAGGTGTAAAGAAAACGCCGATTAAAGTGTCTCAGTATACCATTGACACTTTACCGAAAGTGGATGAGTGTATTCTGCCAAGAATTGTTAAATCGCATATTTCTACAGTTTGTATACAACTGAAATCTCCTTCAGGACAATATAAAATTGTAATAAATCCATTGGAGAATAATAATAATAATCGATATAATCATTCATGGGAGAATTCATCTATTGATTTTTGTAAGTTATAGTCTCTTCTATATAATATTTACATGTCAAAGTAATTGTGCAGTGATATAAGGAGGGTTGTGTGCATGACAATAGTAGTAATGATAGCGTGAATGTTATGTAACTTGTGTAAACTGCATGCATAATTTCGGTTTCACTATAGCTCTGTAAACTACCTTTGATTACGGTCAGCTTAGCTTTGTAGTGAAAAGTGGAAACGCTATTAAAAGGTGATACTTTTTTTATGAAGAGCACCCACTGTTTTCCTCTGATTTCCAAATCCCAGTACAATGCGGTACGTAGGTAGATGTTGCGTGAAAAAGTAGTCTAGTATCGATTTATAACTGGGAGGCGTATAACCTTTTTTGTTTTGTTTATCTTTAATGTAAAGATGATTTAAGATCAGTGTGAGGGGACCTGATGACTCTATCAACCTAAATACTGAATTATAAACGTCCTTCGGCAAACTTTCGGCATTATTAACCTTAGATGAAGTAGTGATATGTTCTGTTTTAGTTTTAACAGTGGGGATTTTTTTTTATACGTACATGTCTTCTGTAAGTGCTTAGTTATTTAACAACATATTATAAAAATTTCAGAGAAATAATATCCGGATAGGGAAGTGAATCATCGGCGTGAACACGTAAAATAATAAAAATAATAATAATAGTATGGAATGCAATTAAAATTGAAATGTTCGTGATTATAATCGTAGTGAAATGTCGAATGCCAAAACATTTAATGTCATATATAGAATAATTCATAGGATGCATAGAACTTGGAAGGGATGTGAAATGATGGGATTAGCAGGCAAATCAAATAAGATATAAAATAAAAACGTTACGCAACACTGTGTGAGATTTGATAACATAGAATATAACATTTCAAGGCAAAGTTGATTTAGAATGGCAAGTGAGATAATACCGGGGACAGTAGCACTGGGTTACAGGGGGTTCGAATCTTAGAAGGGACATGGATCCCTTGCTGACTGGTGAGTGCCAACTGGCACGAAACCTAGGTCAAGCAAGGTTTCCTGCGGACTGCCTCCAACGATCTAATATCAACAATTCAAAGTCTACTGTGATGGCGAGCCACCTAGAATGGTGGCCACATCGCAAACCTGACTGATAGTATTCAGTCTGCACCAAAGGCAGGACTAGACACACATATTACACTACTTGCTTACTAGTGTCCAATCAAAAACACCAGGAACAATTCAGAATGCGAAGAGAAATAGTAACAGTTGACGTAATAAATGAAAAGCATATAAACTGAATAGACAAAACGAAAAAATTGGTAGAGCCAAAACAAGATTAGGGATTACCATACTTTAGTATAGAGGGATTAAGACCATGAAAGTTAGAGAGGTTGAACGAACTATTTCTGAATACAGACATATGGCTTTTCTGTTTCGATAGCCAAAGCTTCAGTAATACAGATGAGTTGAGTACTTAGTGATTTGGGCGAATTACTTTTCGCCTTGTAGATGACTTTGAAGTCGGAGGCTTTAGAGATAGTGTGATGATTATTAATCGGATGTCCAATGACTGCGCTTATTATTGCTCCACTTCCACCATGTAGGATAGTGTTCTTGCACCCTTTTGGACAAAACTCGAGTCAAACGACCGATATACCTAGCTCCACACGATTGGATGAGTTGATACTTATACTTATACTCTCTACGCTAAAGTTCTATGCATCCTATTAATTGTCATATATACGACATGAATTGTTTTGCCACTTGACATTTCACTGCGATTATAATCACGAACATTTTAATTATATTTCGTACTACTATTATTATTATTATTTTGCGTATTCACATCTATGATCAAAATTTCATCAAAGTCGAAGCCTTAGCAACGTCCATATCTAATCCAGCTTTCCTATCTTACTAACTAGTAATATATACTTCAAGACTTGTCTTTTATAAGTAATTTAGAAGTCTCATACGACTGTTAGTGCATTTCCAGTGATACGAAGTAGTTTTTTAAGTGAAAGCTTGATGTTTCTTCTGTGCTGCTGTGCATGCTTTTTCTTTTCATCAACTAGCATGAATTTTTTAGGCGATCATAGTTAATTTATTATTCTTTTTCTTGGAATGACAGTTAGCGGTTTTTCATTTTATTAGTGTATACTGTTTCTATACTTATGGTGTTATTTTCGAAATGAGTATACCGTAGAACATTATTGAATTAAAGTCTACTAAGTTCACCATAGTAATGAAGGAAATATCGCTGAAATGTGAAGTATTTACCAGTTTGACTCATCTTTCTTAACTCTATGAGTGGATAAAGCTACTCTCTAGTAAATCAGTTCACTTCCTAGATTTATTCCCGTTTATGAATTTGAATAAAGCAAGAATAACAGTGTGGTTTGTGCAGAATAATATGGTACCATCATTTATTTCGTTGACTAATAAATTGGATAACAATGTACTCATTTCAACTCAAATCATAGAAACAAGAGACAAGCAAAATTACAGTATACCAAAAGGGGGGATGGTGAGGTTAAAGCTGAAGACTGTGTGATCAAATGAAAAAGAGAGACAGACAGTGAAGACATCTAGATACCAGACAGGGCGGGTTTCAGTACTTCGAGGTGAAATATTCCATTAAATAGATCGTGTGTGTCTGACACATATTTCAAAACATCGTTAACAATGTAGGAGGTAAATATTTAGTAATCTTGAATTTTCATGGACTAGACATGGTTTTGAAACGTGAACGTCCCGATCTTAATTTAAGGGAGCATTTATCTTATTACGGACTGACAGTTTTAATGCCATTTTTTATGCAGTCCTACGTAAATACCTACGAATTAACCCAAAATAACATGGAGCACTTGTCTAATGTCTGCCGACTTCTGGTGACTTTCAGTTTGATACTCCAAAACAGTCATTACTACTTTATGTTTGTTTGTATTTCATGATTATTTATGCTATTGATTGGCGGTCAATACTAACGAAGTGGAACACCTGGGGTGTAGTTCAGTGGTAAAGCATCTAACTGCATAGTCAGAGATCTCCTGTTCAAATCTTAGTGTCCTTTTCACTTTTGAATTAACACACACACACACCTCCCTTATTTCCTGCAAACAATCTCAATCCATTCATTCACCACCTAGTGGTAGAATGCTCGGTAGCCACGGACGTGGACCAGGTTAGATTCTCAGTCTGCAGATTCCTATACTATCAAGTTTACTAGCCGGTAATAAGGGGAGAGGAGAGGGAAATGTTGGAGTTAGGCTGGCAATCCCACACGATAATAACAACACCAACGCTACTGAAAATTTAAACATCTTCATGCCCTATGTTCTACTCCGAACGCAAGGAATAAGTAGTGATAGAAATAACTCTTGTGTTTTTCCATTTAACTATTATTCTGGTGACTTAACTAGAGATGTTTATATTATAGAAAGAATTTGACTCAAACTGCGATATTATCACAACTTTTATAATATTACATATTCGGTATAATTGTCAGAAAGTCATGAAAGAAACAGAATACTGAACTTGAGAATTCTCAAAACTAGTGTTTCTCTCAATGTCAAAATGTTTGAGCAGAAAAACTAAAATCTTCACAAAACACTTCTAAATATTTTATATGAAAAAGGCGATAGACTTTTTCCAATAGGTGTGTTATTTTTGTTTTGAGTTTTATACTACTCACAAGTAGTAAGAGAACTTCTTTGAAAATGTCCATGAGTATGCTAAAGAAGTGTTTTCTTTTCACTTATATCCTTATCAATGGGTCCACGCTAGTCTACAACCGTAAACCTATCTAGTAACAACAGATTAGTTTATAAAAGTTTCGTAATGTTAAGATATATATACACTGGAATACATCTGAGGAAATTATCAAATCTGAAACCAGTTATTACGTAATAGATAACACACATATGTATATATATATATATATATCATAATGAAATCTAAGAATAATGAGAAAAATGATTTTGTTATGCGTTCAGATTGTGAGCGATAATCAAATGCGAGGAAGCTTTATAAGACACCAAGACCATCAATAATAAAACAATAACAATCTTTCATTATCATCATTAATATTCACAAATAATATCTTTAGCAAAAGACTACGAAGGTATACTAATCCTATTCATATTATCCATTAGCTCATAAGTGTAATATAATTTCCTGACGTCTGTGATATACTTTTTGTTACACTGGATAACAATCCCACCCAGGGAGATGAAAAATTCTGTTAGTGACTCATTCTCCAAACGACAAAATTACAATGATTAGAAAACATGTCGTATTATTAATTTGGATGGTATAACAACAGTTGGATTGAAAAACTGCCACCGAACGAGTTTTATTTCAAACACATATATATGTGTATAATTCAGAAAATTTGGAGCACTAGTTTACACAAGCTTAATTTAGTAAAATAAAACACCGTATTGGCCTGAAAACTGAACTAATGGTCACATAAAATTTGTAAATGAGCCAATTAGTGTGTTTTTTCTCACGATTTTATTCTTTTTACTAACTTGAGCAATCTATTTGTCGTGAATACTTCGAATTCAGTCTCTCCAGATTATAGTGTACAACTCAATTACAATTGTTATCTAACATATTACTGTCTCGAAATGGCGTTTGCTAATTAGAATTTAAGCACAAAAGTAGTACAGTTCTTTTCTTGTCACTTGTAATTTAAGACAATTTAAGTCTCTTAGTTCAATAGAGAAAAACATGAGAAGTTTAATTCACTTTTCACCCCATTTGCTATAAATTTTATTTTTAAATTTTACCATTTTAGCCGTTTTCTCTGGCGTCTTTTGTTTCCCTCTAAATAACTTTATTCATATCACTGCAGTATGCATTACACATATCCAGCCGTCGGCATCATGCACAGAAAGAAATTTAAACCTTCTCATCAATTCTTTATTACCTCTCTCAAAATTGTAACATAAACATGGTCGCCATATTTTTTTATTTCTTTTAAACAAATGCCTAGTTTAAGGTTTGTCCTCTAGAGGTATAGAGAAATGAATGGTTTCAGCATAGTGAAAGTGTAGAATTCGGATTATTTTTAAAAAATTTTTATTTATTTATTTTATTCCTTTACGTGTTCCCAGTGGAACATGTGACTTCAAGCTAGAGCTTCGAAGTTTCAGTAGCAGTGGTATTTGTTTTTGCGGGGTATGGTTGCTGGCCTCATGCTCCCCAACATTCCCTCTTTACCGATCTAATTACTGACTTAGAGAGGTTCAGGAGTATGTCGACCGAGGATCGAACCCTAGACTACATGCGTGGTTGGCTAGAATTTTACCGCTAAGCCACCGACGGATACTGTGGTAGAATTCAATCCCATACTGGATAAGTTTATTTGACATAACACACAGTGTTACAGTGTTCATAATCACTAAAAACTAGGGAGCACTGAACAGCCGTTTCTTCCTAGTTTAGGATTCTTCATTGGTCTGCACCTATGATACAGGCCGTAGGGGTGATGCTGCACAATGCAAGTTAGCAGAAATTAGCATTTGTGGGCCACGGAATTCCATCCCAATGGCCGAATGGTTGATCTCGTAACCTGAAGGTTCTGGATCGGATCCCCAGTGGAGTCGTAGGTGCGTACTATTGAAAAGTATAAAACTAGGAGGAAAGAAATTCTGAAATCAGTATAGGAATAGATTGCCATGAATTCTAAGTGTACAAAAACAATGATTTTGAAAGTGTGTTTATCATCTAAATCCTCTTCTTTAATCCCTGTATTAATTTTACTCTCTTTTTGCCCTTTTATTGTGATGAAAGTTTCAAGCTCTGTTAAAATTCTTTCACATCATTTACTAATGTCTAGGCTATCATTGTTCAATTTAAATGTTATTACTACTATACAATTTCAAATTTTACTGCCTTCAAAATTCTCATTTCTTTTCATTCTAGTAAATTTATTTCACTAGAAAGAATATCACAGCCATGAACTGTCCGACGTCGCCACAATTTCTATATGATAATCATCATTTATCCGATGCATGTTGGATTCCATTCTAATTTTAAAGGTAGTGGTTTAGTCCACCTAACCGTCTACACTGTAAGACCTTGAGGCGTGGTGCTTACTTATTCATAGAAACAGAAAATTGGAAGTTCAGTGAGCTGTTATCAGTCTATGTAATTAGTTCATTAGAAGCCAGTTACTATCACATTACCGAAGAGATAAATGCTTCAGCTTGATCACTGAGTTTTATAGGTTCAAGTTTCCTTAAGTTTATTTATATACGAAGCTCTGGTAAGTACCGACGTCGGTACGTCGGTAGCACAGCGGTTAGGATTCTCGCCGACCATGCAAATGGTCTAGGGTTCGATCCCCTGCCGACTCACACCTGATATCTATGGTCGGCCTGCAAATTTGGGCTACAGATATCGTATGCTGAAAATTCCATACATGTATCAAAAATACTGTATGAAGTCAAGCTATAATCAAAAGTTTTAAAAAATTAAGTGAGAGGACCTAAGATTTTTCAAGATCGTTGATACGCCTTGCTGACGAATACTAACAAGCACAACACCCGGGTCCATGGCTTCCCGACGATTACTTCCAGCCATTTAATATAAATTCAGAATACCCTACGATCGAAAGTCATCTAGCATGTGTGGCCAAATTGCGAATTTGACTGAAAGAATTCTGTTTGCACTAAACCAAGGACTAAACGCTTGACATTGGTCCATGCCTAGTAACTAATCAAAGTATAAACAATAGTAGTTTGTTTTCGGTTAAACGTGACTGTGTTTCTACAGTGTAGGTTTTGCATGCTTTGTTTATGTTTTGTTCTAATTAAATTTACTGTCTTAATTTTCCTATATGCATGTGTTTTTCTGTTGTTTCCCCTATTCATAATTATTTTATTAGCATGGATTGAATATAACAGTTGTAATGACGAAAAAGCATGCCATGTCTTAGAATCACCTCTAACCTCTCCATCTTTAATATCGTTTTCTTCATGTGATCATGAACATCAACACCACCACAATCATCATGACTCTGTTCCCTGGATGGAAAAATTTAATGATCACAATACTGGACAAATAAAACAATCAATTAGCCATCAAACCGTCTACAACATCAACATCGGTTCATCTAACCAACAAACAATTATGGAGTCGTGCTATTGTCAATTTAGGCATGTAAAATTCTGTCTATTATTCACTCTGAATCGTATACAAACATTGAGTAATAAATTATTTTTTAATTTTATGAATATCTTTCGTTTATCTGTAAGAAGTCTTTTTTCACAATTATTATCTTCATCCTACTTATCTTACAATAAGTAGTAGAATACGGAGAAGAAGAAGAAAGAGAAAGTGCTTATATATATTTTAGACATTATGTAATCCTTATGCAATTGAAATTATGTAATCAATTAATTTTGCTGCTTACTGTTTCATCTCAGATGATTTTCTACTTGTTCATTTGTTATATAATGAGAAAGAATTTCATTACTAACTTGACATCCAATCACACCAAAACAATAAGCGTTATTCTACGTCAATACACTTCGTGTAATAACTTGATTCTACCCATGGTTTACATTCATTTTAATAGATTGTATCACTTTGTATTCTCACTGTATAATAAATAATGTTTACGGAATGAAGGTTTGGATGACTTCGTCTAGCAATTCTTCAATGATTTTTTATCTTTCGTCTTTTTTTTCTCTCCTTGTTACCGACTTTTGATGAAAAAATGCAACACAATCAAAAGAGGAGTGAAGAGAGGGGGGAATTTTTTCTTTAAAGAGATCAGTCTCAGTTGAACTGATTGATAGATTCTGTTTCTATCCTTTCAAGACTTTCTTTCTGTCTTCCTCTACTTCCTCCTCTATTCATCTGAGAGATACTGGATACCTTTCTTACCACTCAACAAATGGACGAATGAAAACAATTACTTTGACACCTTTGACAACTTCTCAAAGTTCATGCATCTTAATCGAGGGAGAAAAAACACTTTAGGACAATAACAGTAATCTGCTTACCCTCAACCCGCCCCGCAAACCCCGCCTTAATCAACGATTAACTTCAATTCAGAAGAATCTGTATTAAAAACAGTGAGGTACGACGAATTGAATAACATCGAGTTTTGTCATACTCCATATTCCTTCCTGAAACGATTTCTGAGTGTCAGTCACTACGCGTGTGTGCGTTCGTGTGAAGCGCCACAGATATGCTGCTTATCCTTCAGCTTTCATTTAGTAATGCGGTAATCCGTCTATCATCATAAACATGACAGCAGATATATACATACACACACGCACATCAACACAAATACCTACAAGTAAATAACGAACAACTAGAAGATTTTGATGAATGTATCATTTATGTACACCTAATAAATTTATTAATTTTAATTATTTGTAATAAATGCTAATGATCATTTAAAATTGTTTTCAAAAATATTCTTTTAAATTACTGTCTGTATCGACGGGCAATGTTAGCTGATATAGGGTCAGGTGGTGGTCAAACCAAAAAATGGCTTCATCAGTCAATGAAATCCCCAACAGTTAGCTTAACCCACGTAGGAAGATAAAGACTTCCTAGTTGGGGTCCTCGCGACGGTAAACACCAACGGCTGGAGACAATTGGTGATATGGCTGAAAATCGTTCTTAATGGCTGGTGCAGATGCATCCACTCCTTGTGACTTATAATTTCCAATAAAACTACATGGTTCTTCCATATTACTATTCTTTTTGCCTCATATCTCTCTTCACTGTCTCTATTTTGCGTTTTTTTACTGTCTTCTCTGGCTTTGTGTTCTGAGTGAAGTGTGGTGACTCGAACTGATGCACACCGGTGCAAAGTTCTGTGTTGAAACCAGACCAGAGATTATCTGTAGAGGAAAACAAAGAAGACTAGTCCACTGTATGAAATACCGATTAGTACTCAAATTTTAAGATTCTAGGGATTTAAATTAACTTCAGTATAGATCTCCGTATGAACCATCATCATTGAATGTATCATTGGAGAACTATAAACTCTAAATAGATAGTTGTTTCGTCTTATTTTGAACTCTTCGACTGTTCGAAATCGTGACTCTGTAAAGGCTTGAAGTTAGGACTTTCACATAACAAATCAAACCCCTTTACCATTCACTCACTTACTCGGAAATTAGAATCTAGAAGACCTTTAATTCCGTGTACATAAATCAACGTTTTCCATCAGATTCGGTAATGCGAAGTATATGCAAACATACCGTTTTCAGAAAGCTTCTTTTGACTTTGTAGGTAACTTTGAATGAATTTGCTTTACATATTGAATGGTAATTGTCGAATACACATTGAAATATAGCACTCCTTATCGATCTGTTGTGACCTTTTTTATAGCCTAGCGAGATAAAGTTCCTTAACGCTTTAAGTGAAACACTCACTGTACAACATTTACGTCTTCCTATAAAGGAGCGAGTGGAGTGGTAGATACACATAGAAATGTTCAAATGCGATAGTTTACACTTAGAGTTATTAAAGAATACTGGGTGGTAGGAGAATGGCAATCCTAATGTAGAAGCAAAAAATGTTCTTTTCAAGTTCTTCGATACTCTCTTCTTTAGAGTGTCGGTCAGAAGGTCACACTTGAACGATACATTCAAGTAAAGCATCTTCTTCAGCGCATAGAAGGGGTTTTTGTTTGTTAGTTTTTGTGTTTCATGCGTTTCTCTGTGGAGCGTCGGGGTAGCCATTTTCAGTTAATGTCTTCCTTAAAAGAGTGATCTCATCATCTACCGACTGATTGCTGTAGATCTGTCGAATGCAAGTCTCACGAAATGTTATCAGGTTTTGGTCGTGGCTGATAGGTATTCAAGTGTGAAATTTTTTCAATTTGCATCCTATATAGACTTTCAATATACTGATCTCTTCAACTGTAAGACAACAACCAATAGTCACACACGGAAGGAAAGTGGAACAACAGCTTTGAAAGAACGTGTTTTCAGTACAATTCCAAAATTTAGAATGCGCGGCCCAAGCTCTTACAAACAATCAGTCTTTTTGTCTTCGTTGAAATCAGTTCTCTACATTAGATGTTCTTCTTGCTTCACAGAATTGACTTCTGGGTATTTTCCTGGAATGAAAAGAAGAAAACGTTATTTAATGCCTTATCTATACAGGTTTTTATATTGTTACACAACGTCCCATCAGCCTTCTTTGCTGGTTGAACATCCGGTAAGGAGATTACTTGTCGGGGATCTATTTCAATCGTAAACCTAATGGCTGGATGGCAATTATTAAAAATTTGTGGGACATTATTTAGGTCACATATATTATCACAAACGATAAAAGTATCACCAACATGTCTTTTGTACATAAAAACAACTGCCAATGGTCGGTTTCAAAAGGACTATTTTCCAAACTGGACATGAAAATATCTCCAAGTCCCGGACCTAATAAAGATCCCACAACTACATCGTCTTGCTGTCTAGAAGTAACACCGATGAATCTGAATATTCAGAGTGCATCTAGCTTGAAGTTCTTTTAATATAGAGGTCAGTATTCCAATATTCAAGTTGTTATCTTCCAAATATTTACATAGGAAACAAAGCGTCTCCGTAATTGAGACATTTGGGAAGAGCAAATCGATATCGATTGACATCATAAATTTGTCGGTTACTTTTACTTCTTTAATACAGTCAACAAATTCTAATATCTGTTCTTTTGTGACATAGTGCCACCGCCTACAAATTCCATCCATCGGGAAAATTAATAAGCACAGAAGACTGCTAAAAGGGAAAACAAAAAGATATGATTAAGCGAGTTTTACCCATTAATTAGGAGAACATATGAGGTGCATACCTTAGTGTTTACCTTGCTTGTTTATCGGAAACCTTGTTAAAAGTTGACGAAGTGTTTTTTAATACTATGAGGATTTCGATAAGCTAACATGTTACTATTTCCTTTTCATAACCCTTACTCCTACAATTCGTTAACTCTCCCATTCTGCCTATTATTCTCTATTGTTCCCCCTTAGTTTTTCCTGGGCTACTGAAGAAAGACTATAACATATTACGCATCTCATCAGGCGAAACAGGAGCCTATATAGAAAACTATATGCCCGCACCAGCAAGTACAAAAACTCAACCATACCCTACTTAGCTCGTGTTCTGTGTGATAAAGAAAGCATTAGGCGTGACACCTATAATTCATTAAATAGTCAGTAGAACAACTGGACCTCGTCTTTCCAACTCATATCATTTATAGGTACAACATTTTCTTTCTTTCTTTTCCTATTCTCTCTCTTTTTTTTCCGTTATGTGCTGCTTTGTCTCTTTCTCTCGCTTACGCCAGTTAATAAGACAGCTCCCACTTTTCTAACACCTTCAAACACTGTTCTGCTTTGGCTTTGCTACCGACATGCCAATATGTTGTTGTCATAATGAACTGAGATTTCCTTAATCTATGTAGAATTCTATTTATTGATAATGTACTAACTGGATGCAATACTGTAGTAAAAATGCTGAGAATTCCATTCTGTATCACAAGTACTGTTTTGGAATAAAGCAAATTATTATTATTATTGCTTCAGTATGATCTTAGAAATGTCGTGCATCATTTGGAAATAAAAATCCTTCTCACTGTTGAACTAAGAATTCCATGTAGATTTGTATAAGTTCAAGTCCCCACACTTCACAACGTGACAATAAGCATAAAGAAGTGGAAATGAGAGTGAGAACAAATTCTTAAAAATTAGGTGGGAAAATAATAAAGAAGTGGGTACTTTCAAAGGGTGTTCTGATTAATCATGAGTCCTACTGTGGTGAGAACTGTCTGCTAGCCAAAATTGGTAGACAGTAATTGACGTCAATGTTTACCTCCTATATCTTGGTCATCAGAAAAAAACAAGAACAAAGACTAACTCAACAACCAACCACAGAAGACTTTGCGTGGGCGGATACGATTCGCAGATATGTGGTCTGACCATCAAAGAAACGGCCACAAAGAGATGACAGATTAACTTTCATCGAGAAAACAACCAATCAGAACACGCTGTTTCTCTGCTAATAATAACGAATAATAATGTACATAAAAATATATGAATATCTCTTGATTTCCACAATAAACGATCTGTTACCTGGCCCTTGTCTTCTGTTGTTACACTACTAATTCGAATGGCATATTCCAGATTAACCCACATAAACAAACACGAATACGAATTCACAATATTCAGTTAAGTGCAATGGATTAGTGTTATTAATTTTGTCTATATTTACCTTATAACCCCCTTGTTTGAAAGGTTTAAGGCCTTCTCCTTTAAACAATGAAATACTGTTATTCAGTCGATATCATGTAAGTAAGTGTACCATACTGCAGAAGGAAGTGAAGATGTATTCTACATACCTCAGACTGAGTCTAAAGATTGATATATCTTTAGTTTGAATAAGGCAATTCTTAGTATGACCGCCAGCCAATGTTTTCGATGAATATTTGTCCTCCCACTCGATCTAGTTGACTTCGCTGGTCACGACTTCTCAGTAGGACTTCAGGTAATTTCAGCCTGCAGTCAGTCAATAGTGAATATCGCATCAGTTTTCGGGTTAATTGTGTAGCTTTCTCTAAGTACCATCAATTCGGGATCAGAGTTAAAACCAATCAAAATTAATATTATATCATGCGAATAAAACTAGTGATACTGAGTAATTGTTATTTTTCATGTTATTTCCTATGCATTGTGCCATTATCACTGGATGGTTTATCAACAAAACTTTGAATAAGACATTTAGAAGCAAAATTTTTCGAGGTGATATCATTTCGTACTTTCTCTACAATCGCTTTACAACTAGCATGATTCACAATAATAAAATAAAATGCATAACAATTACTCAGTTAAATAAAAAGCAAAAGTACATACTAATGACCAATCATATTTAGATAGGTCAAGTCTTTGAATGGTAGGATAAAGTTGAAGTCTACTGCTTTTGTACACATAGTTCAGGATGTATGTGATCAATCCCACAAGTGCTTCCATCACCTTCAATAACCAACCTTGAATTAGAGTTATTTGAAATAATTATGAAGCAGTCATTAATATTGATTAATACTGAGTAATTGTCATGCATTTTATTTTATTATTATTGTGAATCATGAAAGTACGAAATGATATGATCTCACGAAATTTGTCTTCTGAATGCCTGATTCAGATTTATCGAAAGGGGTTAATTGTTTTAATTTTCTTACACAAAGTATAAGTGTAAAGTTTACACACACGCATATAACAGTTCTCCTTTTATACTACAGAATAGAGAACAAATTAATCGACATCTTATTTGAATGACTCATTCAAGACAGATGTTAATTCATGAGATAATTATTATCTATTATTGTTTCCTTTAATTCCTAGAG